GAGCGATCATTCATCTCTTTTCCTAGGTGGTTGTTGAGGAGCTGAGAATAGCAGACACAGAGCAAATGGAATCAACGTGAACAGGGTGGAGAGCTTTGGAGGAAGTGCGGCCCAGGGCTGAAGAACACCACCTTCCCTCCCTCTGCATCACGCTGGCCTCTGGTGGCTCACAAGCAGCTGACAGACGGCTCAATCATTTCCTGGGGCAGCGCCAGCTGGCTTTGGCATTAGTGCTCAGGCCCTAACTGACAGGGGGCTTGTCCTTGGCTGCGTCCAGAGGCCTGTGAGAGCCTATTCAAGCTCTGCCTTCAGTCTGCTGATTTACCGTCCCTGTTGGCTGGTTGTTGATCCATTTTTCCTCTTGGTTTGCTCACAGGGCACCCCAGAAACCATCCTCTAGTAATATATTTGGTTTATGATTTCCTCAGGAGCTAAGGAAGAAAAGCAGCCGCCGCAGTGCACCTGCCGGATCTCGGCGTGCTGCGCTCTTCAGCCAGGACGACTGCGCGGTGCCGGGGCCACGCGGCGCCCCAGCATTCCCGCAGGGGCCCGGCAGAAGCTGAATTAGAGCCCTCTGAAATGTATTTGCTGTTTTATTTATAGCTCCATTTGGACCCTGCTGCCTCTATGTCTGACTTTGGCCATGCGCCAGTGCAGAGTGTGACTCCAAATGGCAAGGAGCGGGAGACAGCGGGCCGAGGCAGCGCGCGGGCACCGCGCAGGGCTGCCCCGCACAGCTGCAGTCTCCGGGCAAAGGCTTGGCTTCCTCACAGACACAAACGTGGGGCCGTGTGTCCCCTGCCCCGTGCTTAAGAGACAGTCAGCTAGTCTCGAAGGAAGTCAGTCCCAGAGAATCGAAGTCTCCTCTGCCTCTCTTCTAACTTCTTTTCTATCAGACGTTCATGGAGGGCTGTTTGGAGTGAAACTGCTCATGGATACGTCTCTTTTTCAGTCTGGGCCGGACTGTTGAGGGAGTGAGCAACATCTACCCACAGTGCACAGAGCAAGCCAGTGTCTGGCCTTTGTGGTTTAGGTGATTTTAAGTGCTATGGAAGTCTCTCTCGCTCTCTCATTTTTCTTGAATTTAAAGTGACAGCTGACAGTGAGTAAGGGGTTAGGAGCACAGAAGAAGGGAGCTGTGGTAAATGTGTGTCACTTCAGAATATCTGTGCTTGTGGGAAGCAGGTGCCTGTGTGAAAGGGAGTGGGCCTGCGGTCTCCGATTTGCGGGCTGCACACTGGCACCTGCGGCTCTCAGAGTGCAGGCCCCAGACTGACAGCATCAGGGTCAGCCTCACCTGAAAACCCGAGGAATTACAATTTTCAGGCCCCACCTAGGCCCCCTGAGACAGAAGCTCTGGGGGCGAGGCCAGGCAGTCTGGCTTATCAAGCCCTCCAGGTGATTCTGATACAAGTTTAAGGACAGCTTGTCCACACCAACAGTGTTTTCTTAATCATCTGTTTAATTTTGACTGTGAAGGAGAACATTAGCTAGGGAGAAGAAGTATCCTGTTTAGAGTAGAAGGACTTTCAGCACCGGAAGACAATGACGCCAAGTAGTTTCCAAAAGAATAAATAAGAAAAGTATAAACTGTGTACAGTTCACTTCTGGCTGCTTCGATCCTGCCAAATGAAGGGTGTTTTTTCTTCATTCATGAAAAACAACAACAGCAATGTGTCTATCTTCTCACAGCACTAGGAAGTTCTAAAAGGCTCCCTTGTGAGACCTGTCCCACAGGCCATGTTCCTCCCATGGGACAGCGAAGTGCAGGGAAAGGCCAGTGACAAGGCCTCCTTCTCCGCGGCTACTACCCCTGTCCGCTGTGGGCGCGACAGCAGGGTGCCCTGACCCCAGGGTCCCCGCTGCCCAGGCACGCCAGCCCAGCCTCAGCTGCTGGGGCTCTTATCCTCCTGTGTAAAGCTGACGTGGCAGCCTCGTCTGAGAACACAGCAAACTGCCTGAGCCTTCTGGCGGGGCCTCTGACAGCGGCAGATGTGCTAGAGGGGCACAATACGGAACTTTGACCAAGCCTGTCTGTGAAATATGGTGGCACATAGCGAAGTGCCACACCCGCGTGGCTCTGCCTTTACTGGCTCTGTAGCCTTTGGTGTTTGCTGGGCCTCTGTCCCTTGTCTGTAACATGGAGAGATCGACAAGAGAACCTGCAAGATCCTTTGACAGTCTATGATTATTCTATTTATCCTACAGTCTCTGAGTTAGTTAATTGGAGAAAAATGATCTTTTATGTGAAATTTAAGTCTCTTTATAAACCTGAACATGCAAAATTGCCACTCATACTTGGAATACCTAACTTAGGCCATGGTGGGCTCAATAAATATTTATGAAAAATAGATTCTCAAGTGGCCCTGGTTACCAATGTCATCTCAGTTTGTAGCTTGCCAAACGCAGTTACCATAGAGTATGCTAAAGAAGGATGTGCTTACAAGAATTGCCCTGATCAGAATCTAGCCGCTATATGTCAACACAATAGCAGAGTTAGGCTGAGGAAGAGGTAAGATTTTCCTCTGGGGCAGCGATGCCAAGTGAAACTTTCTCCCATGCTTCCAGAAGGATGGAAGGCATCCTGCTGAGGTCTTACCTGTGGGTGTCTACACAATGGCCTGCAGGTGCTAATCAAAACACCTGTAATGTCCTGTCAACACACACCCCAACAACTTTCAATAATCTCTAGCTGAAATGACTCTGGGTCCTGAGAGAATGCCACCCTCTTAACATCTGGGAGGAATCTCAACCGTAATACCATATCCAAAAGACAACTGCCAGGTACTATATGTATATTCCTGGGAGGCTCTGGTCTTTGCCAGAGGTTAACATTGACTCCTTAAACCGTGAAGTCCCAAATTCTGGCTTGGTTCTTTGATTCACTCTCTGCGGTTCTCATAGTCATCCTGTGAAACTCAGTGAAGAAAACCAAAGGCTCTATGTAAGCATATCAGCCAGAAAGTCCAAAAGGGAATAAGTTGCTCATAAGATCAGATGTGAGGAAAAAAGAAGGAAAAAAGAAAAGGAGGGTGGAGAGGAGAGAGAGAGAGGGATAAATCATGCAGTTCTGGATTAGTGGGCAAGTTCAGATCCTTTACTGGGCTCAGGAGAAAACCCCTTTAAATATTCTGTTTCATTTTGTGTTTGCCTGAGATTAGTGGCTACAGAAAAGTTGGTCAATATTAGTATGGGTGTGTGTACTTCCTGGGAAAAGGTCAGTTCCATTGATCTACTGCTGTTACCTGTGCTAGTTTGCTAGGGTCTGCATAACAAAATATCACAGACTGGGTGGCTTAAATGACTAAAATTTATTGTCTCATAGTTCTGGAGGCCAGCAGTGTGAGATCAACGTGTTGGCAGGGCTGATGCCTTGTGAGGGCTGTGAAGAAGAGTCTGTTCCAGGTCTCTTTCCTAGCTCCTGGTGGTTTGATAGCAATTTTGGCATTCCTTGGCTCGTAGACACATCATCCCAATCTCTGCTTTAATGTTCACATGTTGTTCTTCCTTTGTGCATGCCTGTTTCTGTGTCCAAATTTCCCCTTTTTGTAAGGACACCAGTCATATTGGACTAGAACCCAAACTAATAATGTCATTTTAACTTAATCATCTCTGTGAAGACCATATCTCTAAATAAGGTCACATTCTGAGATTCTGGAAGTTAGGATTTCAACATATGAATTTTGGCAAAGGCAATTCAACTCATAACATTGCTTTTCCATATCACCCTGGGTAAACTGGAGTGTTCAAACTGCTTTCTTTTGATGAGTCTGTTCTATCAGTGGGAAGTTCTGTCTCACTTAGGTTTTAAGATGAGCTTAATTGGTGAAGCAGTTTGTACTTCTCAAAAAGCTAACACATTTCTTTCCCCAGATGTTCCTCTGCAATATGGCTGCGCCACTTCCCATCAAAGGGTGGATGGAGTCTGATCCTTCTCTTCCTCAGTCATGGCTGTTCTTGGTGACTTGGCAGAATGCAGCCCAAACACTGCTCTGAACTTCTGCGACTAGGGCCCATCAGAAGTCTTGCGGCTTCTACCTGGGTCTCTTGGTCAGTGGGGTCAGTCTAGAAAATGCTCTCTTCTGGATGCCTTCTTCCTACAAGGAAGCCCAGAGCTCCAATGGGAGGCCCGTGGGAGACCCGTGAGAAGGGGAACCAAAAGCTCCTCAGCGGAGCTTCTAGTTGACAACAGTCAACTGCCAGCCATCACAGGGAGCCATTCTGAATGCCCTGCCCGGTGAGCATTCAGCATGCAGATCCAACTGACATGAATTCAAATAGCCCCATGAGAGATCCTCAAGCAAAAAACAGGAGCTGAGCCCTGGTTAGACCACAGAATTCTGCCATGGACAACTTTTCATAGGTGTGTGAGAGCTGCAAGAGCTTAGAATGTAGCTTGCAGTGGGCATGACAACATGGATCCTTAGAGTTAAAACTCCCTCTCCCACCTTGCCTTCTATAGACACATGCGCGGACAGAGGTAAACGCCTCATAAGAAGGCGATCTTATTGTCAGACTTTCACTTTATTTCATTATTCCACTTGAGGAACATGGCTGTGGGACGTATCTCAAACGCGAGCCTTCAGAGTTCGCTGATGCTGTGGAGAAGACACACTTGGGCTGCTGTTGTCCCAGGCCATGGGGGCTGGCGCGGTTCGCTGCAGCGCCGTTGACAGAACGGTTGGCTATGGCTCTTGAAAAACGATTGTCCTTAGTTCTATCCTGAACATTTTATAGGCTGACTTTGTGCCTCTGTTCTACAAACCATTTTAGCACTCCCTGTATTTTAAAAGGTAAATCAGAAGCCACTCATTGCATCACCAGAAACTTCCTAATTTTACCAAATGACGCACTACCAGCTTTCAAAGGAAGCCTTCATAGTATATGTAGAATAAAGGAAAGATAATCTTAATGAAAATGGGTCACTACATGGCAATGTGTATCTTGATAGAATTAATACTTCAATATTTTCTGTAAAATTTTGCTGATTTTTTTCACAGATAATAAATCCTGAGCCTAAGTCATTCTGAGCCTTGGACTGAAGATCTGAAATCTAGTCTGGGAAGCGCTTTCACATTTCTTACAACCAAGAATGGAAAGGTTGTCTCTCTCTCTTTCTTTCAATTTTAGGAACTGCTTTAGATACAAATAATAGATTTGAGTAGTTTTTAAAAATGTGACTATTTAACTATTTTTAGAAAGGAAAAATAGGTGAATGGAAAACATATGAATATATAAGTGTTCTGCATGTCCTCAAGAATTAAACAAAGAGGGAGAAAGAATTAAGGAAAAGTGGGAAGGAAAAGATGCTGGTGCACCGTACCTTTGAGTCTTATTGAACCTGAGACATCTGGGTTGGAATTAGCTGTGCTAGACGATTCTAGCATGCCATTTTGGTATGTGTTCTGAGAAGGCAGAGATTCGTGACATACATTTACAGAGGAAATCCTGACACAGGGTTTCTAAATTCCTGAGCTGTGTGGTGGGAGAAACTATTAGGTCATTTATACTTGAGATACAGAACATTAATCTCAGTTTAACAGCAGGCTTAGTGAAATAGTGATCTTTTTTATTAAAATAAGAATTTAATTTATAATTTTCTTAGCAGGAGTATTAAAGAAGTGATATGCAATCATCAGGTTATGTGTCTAGAAAGAATTATTAACAAAATATGGTCCATCTCCTAGATAGGGAGTTTATAATTTAGTCTCTTTAGCATGAAGGGTGATTAACAAAACTAATAGCATGTCTTCGTGGTCTTATATAGAGAACAAGGGGAAGAGACAGTAGGAAAAGAATAGAAAGCACAGAAATGGGAAGACAAAGAACAGCCTTCACAATTGCCAGCCGTTTCATAAACAGCAAAGGCCCAAATTAGAATGATATGGATATGGATTTAGTCTGTGAACACACATGGCAATACAATTAGGCTTGGGAATGACCGATGATGGCTTTAATTGAAGTCAGTTTTCTAATCCTCTGTCACACCCATGAACTTCAACCAATCAAGCAATCAACCAGCCAGCAAAATTATATTCATTCATTCATCAACATATTTTTATTGAGCACTGACTAAGCACAGTGTACTACTTGGCTAATTGTGGGGATGTGATAGTTGCAAAAACACACTGTTTCTGCCCTCCTGGTGCTTATAGTCTAATAGGGTGAATTAGGCTATAACCACAGAAAAAATTTTGAAGGTGGAACTGTGATGAGTTCCTTGAAGAAGGGTTTATGAAAATATAAAGATACTAAACATAGTCAAGGAATAAAGGGAAGATGTCTCTCATTACAAAGTGAAAACTGGCCTCAGAAATAGGATAAGTAAGAGATAATTAGGTGAAGAGGGGAGAAAAGAATGTTGTAGATAGAACAAGATTAGCAAGACCCTATGGAGGGCTGAGAGTGGTGGCTCATACCTGTAATCCTAGCACTCTGGGAGGCCGAGGCAGGAGGATCGCTTGAGGCCAAGAGTTTGAGACCAGCCTGGGCAACATAGCAAGACCCCATCTCTAAAAAGAAAAAAAATTAGCTGGGTGTGGTGGTACTTGACTGTATTCCCAGACACTTGGGAGACTGAAGCAGGAGGATCACTTGAACCCAGGAGTTCAAGGCTGCAGTGAGCTATGATCATGCCACTGCACCCCAGCCTGGGCAACACAGTAAGACCCTGTCTTAAAAAACAAAACAAAACAGAAACACAAAGACCTTATGGAGTCATCAGAACCTGCTAGATGCAGTCTCAGGCAGGCCACTGGGGCTGAATTTACTGCACCCCCAATCTTCAGCTCCAATTGTTATCTCCCTCTTTTGTCTTCTATAGTCCAGTCATCTGGGACTTTTAGCAGCAGGAAAGGTATTCCTCCAGGCAGTCTACAGACAGTCTTCTTCCAAGCTGGTAGGAAGGAAAAACCCAGGCAGGAATGACTTCACCCACTGTGTAAAGAATACATTAGGTTGAGGCAACTAAACAAAACCTTCCCGAAAGGGACAGTGATGGCAAGTGAGCTCAGAAGCCTGGGTCACACCTGGAGACAGGGAAAGTGACAGGGAAAGGTCATCAAGAATATGGAGCAAAGAAATCCTCAGGTGTTGGATCCTTTATTGACCTTAGGGGCAGAGAGAAATTATTCTTCATCCTCAGTTGATGGCATGTCGTTACCGTTGCCCTGGGCCAGGGCTCTCTCTTGCTTTGATCTATGTAGGTGTGTCTAGATGGACTCAGTTATTCTCCCCAATCACTTTATTCTTCGTTCCCCACTGGTCCCCTCAGGGATTTGTTCTGTGTCCTTGAAACTGTGCGTGTCCTGGAACAGCGTCACTCCACGCACCCGAAAGGCCGCGCAGGCAACGCTCCCCGCTGCAGATTGCCATCTCTCAGCATGAAACGACTTTCCTACTTTTGTTGATCTGATAGATGTAGGGCCTTATTTTAATTAAAATTCAAATTTTCTGATTGTTCACGTGTTTTAACATCACTTTATATACTTGTTAACCATGAGAGTTTCACATTTTTTGAATTGTCTGTTCATGTTCAAACCTTTTGCCAATTTTTCTACTGAGATTTCCATCTTTTACATATTGGTTTTCCAAAAGTCTTTCTGTATTCTAGGTATTCATCATATATTGCTTTGGTGTCAAAAATATCTTCTCCTAATTGTCACTTTCTGTTACATTTGTCTATAGTGCCTTTTGTTAAACAGAAATTCTTAATTTTGGTGCAACAAAATATATCTTTTCCTCCTTAAAATATTCTGTTTTTAAGTCACTCACATTTCCTTTAACTCTCCAAATCTATGGTTCCTTTTGATGCTATTAATTTGGGAAGATTATAGGGAAAGTTCCCAAGAGAGATTAGATGAAAATGAAGGAATTGTAGATAAAAGAGGAAGAATTAAATAACTTTGATTCCATTCTCAAATTCTTTTCTATATAGATTATTGTGTCATTTGTGAAAGAGACAGCTGTATTTCTTACTTTATAATCTTTATGCCTTTTGTTTATTTTTGTGCCTTATTGCCCTGGCTAACATCTTCAAGACAACATTTAATCAAAGTGATGGGGAAAGATATCCTTGTATTATTCCAATTTTAGGGAGAAAATGCTCAGTCTTTCATCATTAAGTATAATTTTAGCTGTAGGGTTTTGCATATACTCTTTATCAGCAAAGGAAGTGCCCTTTCATTTCTAGTTTGAAAGTTGTTATCATGAATGGATGCTGAATTTTCAAATGTTTTAACTGCATCTGTTGATAATCATATTTTTCTCAGTGTGAGAATGGTGAATATGGCGAATCATATTAATTAATTATCAGATACTGAACCAACATTGTAGTTCTGCCCAGTGTTTTAGCACTTTAATCTCATAAATATCTTTCTATTTAAAAATCTTCTAGTTGGGCTTTCTTTGTTGCTAAGCTGGATTATAGAGCCTATCAAGTATACAGCCTGAGAGCCAGAGGGAGTGAGAGAGTGTCTTGGGGTGGGAAGATGGAGGGATGAGGAAAAGGTAAAGAAGAGTCGGGAGTTGGAGAGTGGGAAGGCAAAGCGCTCACACATCTGCGTTTTGATCACTTAACTCCTATTGGCGATTTGTCATCGCCCCCGCCCTTAGGGCGAGTGTCTGCGCAAGAAGCTGGATTGGAAGCTGAGGTTTTAGGGTTGGCTTCGTGCCCTGGCTCCGGGAAGTTATAATTGTGATTATCACAATATAAAATCAGTTCTTTAAATTTGTTAGCAAGAGGCATGCAAATTAAGAAAATTCCTTAGAAGAAAAAAAGGAAACAGACAAAAAATAGAATATAAAAACTAATACATCTATAAAAAGAATGTATATATCCGTTGGAAGATTTCAACCCAATTTTCTCACAAAATGACAGAAAGAATCAACTAAAAACAAGCCACAAAATCCAAACTGTATACATACACACATATGTATATATATATATAGAGAGAGAGAGAGAGAAGGGGAATTTGTATAACACAATTGTATTTTTTAAATGCATGTACACATGCATATATAACATACATAAACACGGAAGTACATATGTATCTAAAGTCTAGCATGCATATTTATGTGTATGTGTATACATATAAACATTTTTTCTCTATTCAAGAAAGAATATATATTCTTTTCAACCTATATGAATCATTTACATAAATTGAACACGTCCTAGGTCATAAGTTTCAAAAGTCCTTTCAAAATGTCATAATCCAATAAATCCAGAAATGAACACAAAAACATTTTCAACCTTATTTTTCCTATAGAACTGACATCATTTGTAAACTAAAAAAAACTTTTAATACATTCATGAGCAAAGAGGAAATTAAAATGGAAATTGTAAAGTATTTAGAATGGAAAGAAAACATGGAATTTCTAATATCTATGGGAATGAAGCCAAAATAATTCCAAGGGGAAATTTTATACTCTTAAATGCATTTACAATGGAACAAATAGTAAATGAACTAGATCTTTAAACCAGAAAGTTAGGGAAAACAAATAAGCAAACAACAAAACAAACATGAACACAAAATGATTAGAAGGAAATAATAAACAGCAGAAATTAAAGGAAAATATAGAAATAAAGTTGATCAGTAATCCAGAAACTGGATCTCTGCAAACAAACTAAAGACATGAGACTATGGAAAATATGCCAAAGACAAAGAGAAAGGTCATAAACTACATCAGGAAGTAAATAAAAATATATAGTTCGACATCCAAAAGAAATAAAAAATTTAAGAAAAATTACACCAATAAATTTAAATGCTTGGGTGCAGTTGGCAACTTTTTAGGAATATATACATTGTCACAACTATTCCAAGAAAAAGCAGAAAACCTGTGACCCTAATGACCTTAAAAGGATAACCTAGCAATCTTCAAACACCACTGGGCCAAAGTAATCACATATTTTACTAAAAATATAAAGACGAGCTAGTTCTCATCATGCAAATTATTTTAGGCATAGAAGAGATGGAAAGTTACCCAATTACTTTAATGAGATCAGCATGACCATAATCCAAAATTAGCAAAAAGGGGAAACAACACAGAAAACATAAATGCACTCAAAACTCATTTATAAATGCAGTCAAAACTCAAAAATCCTAAATGAGATTATTGTAAAAAAAGAATCTAACAGTGATTTAATAGAATATTATTATTATATTATAATCATGTAAGGCTTATCTTAGGAATGCAAGGATTATTTGATATTTTTTAAATGTATCAACATAATTTACTTCTATAACAGAGAAAACTGTTAATATTTATTTATTTCAGTAGATGTTACAAAAGTGTTTGCTATATTACAACACCTATTAATAATAAAAAATTGTATGAATTTATTTTGGAATAAAGACAGTTTTTCTTAACCTAAGAAGAATTTCTACCAGAAATTCACAGCAAATGTCATGTAACAATGAGCCTTTAAAAGAAGTCCCATTGAAGTCCAAGTAAGCTGCAGACGCTTATTCTTACTGATTTAGCATTGCACCAGAGGGCCTGGCCACACACTAGAAGGCAATAAAAATTAAATGGGATGTAAATATTTGAGAAAAAAGGATAAAATTTCCTATAATACTGTAGTGGATGCTGTGGTGTGTCACCCAGATCTCCCCTTTTCAAGAATGAAGTACCACTCTTCTGGCTGCTGTGCAAGTTGATGGGTGACAACTTACAGTTGATAACCCTTGTGATGGCAGCTCTTGACTGAAACACTTGCTTCACTCAAGGTCACACCCTTTCCTAGGTGTGGCTTATTTGCAAATACTGGTTAAAGTGAGGACAAAAGGCCTTGTGGTCCCATGGCTCCAGCTCTGCAACCCTGCAAGCCCATTCCAGCTTTCTGGAGGAAACCCTGAGGCCTTTGTTGTGACAATATCACAACACAACTTCTTCCTCTGCACGATTATTCTGCCTTCCCATTTCCCACAGTGATGGATCCAGAAAGAACTTCTTAATAACCTACCCGCATGAAAATCTTCATTAGAATCTGCTTCCTAGGGAACTTGACCTGAAACTCATACTGAAGATTTCATGATATAATTTAAATCATCCCAAATGAACCAGCAAAATATTAAGATTGATAAGATGGTCCATCAAAATGACCAGTAGTCCAATACCAGCTCAATGCACAAAAATCAGTTTTCCTTTAATTAGCAAAAACCAATTAGAAGATATGATTGACAAAGATCTCTTTCATAATAGTAGCACTATAAAACAATTAAAAATAAAACCAATCTAAATACATAGGATCTTTATGAAGAAATGATAAAAATTTTTATTGAAGAATATTGAAGAAGACCTGGATAAGAGGAGAGAAATTTTGCAGATAGCCTCTGCTCTGTCATGATTGGGACTGATGATTGGTCAGGTGATTACAATAAGTTTCTTAAAGCATGGAATAATTACAGAAAAAGATAAATGTAAACCTAAAACTTTTTTTCACAACTCTTAACTTTGAAATATAATAAATTTATATTTATCCACAAGTGTTTTGCTATAGAGCTGAGGTCTTTTCTTTAAACAAAGTCATTGACTGGAGTTCTTCATTGACTTTTTTGTGTTAATCATATTCATTGAGGTCTCATCTGGGATGTCCAGTTTCATTGCCTTTCAATCGAAACTAATAGTTTCCACTGATGAAGCAATCTGAGAGAAGTCTCCTTCTAGAATTTCACAATTAGCTTGCTCTAATATTTGACCAATTTCTCACTGACCACTTAATTTAGCAACTTCTGTTCATGGACTCTTTCCAAAGCGTTCAATTTAGCTTTGGTAGGAAACAACTCCTTTTTGCATGCCATTGGTTTGTGTGATATTTAATTTAATTGCATAATGATATTAACCAGGGCAGATGTCATTAAAGAGTATGTAAGGTTTCAACTCAATTGGTGAGAACCGAAATATGTGGGTGTTCAGGGAGTTTACTTCTAGGTGGGTGCATTCAGAATGCAATGGGGTGAGTATGTTTCAAGTAATTTGGTTATGGTAGTTTTACTCAATATTGTAAAGATGTCAATTCTTCTAAAACTAGATGATAAATTTAATGTGGTAGAATTTTCATAGGATTTCATAAAATGATTCTCAAATTCATATACAATGATTTTAATAAAGATAAAATTGATAGAAAGCAAAGAAAAAGAACTAGTCCTACTAGATATCAAAACATAATATGAGTCTATAGTATTAGTATGAATTAGGATGAGAGCAATAAGTTAGGAGAATAAAATAAAGAAACAATCCATGTATATATATAGTAATTTGGAATAAAAAATGACATTTGAAAAATCAGGGGAGAATGGTATTGGGGCAATTGGTTTTCTATAAAGAAAAGAATTCCAACCTCCTCATATTTATGCCAACCCCCACCCCACAAACAGCAACAAACAAAAAGCTAAACACCTAAATGTTTACACGTTATAATACCTTAAGAAGAAAAGATACAAGAAGCAAAAATAAAATAGTGATAAATTTGACTATAATAAAAAGAGGAAGAAAATGTCAATATAACAAAAAAATACATAAGCAGAGATGAAATACAAACAATAGACTGGGAGAAGCTTTTTGTAACATATATTATAGGCAAAATATTTGTACCTTACAGATATAAAGAATATCTACAAACCAATATACAAAGGACAGACATCCCAACAGAAAAAATAGGCAAAGATTATAAAAGGCCAACATACAGAAGAGGAAGTACAACTGGCCAATAATATATGAAAGATGCTCAATTAAGTACTAACCAGGAAAATGTAAAATAAAATAACAAATGAGACATCGTTTTTATTCTTCAAATTGGGAAAAAAACAAATACTATATAAATAAAAAATAAAGGATAATAAATATTAAGAAGATTTTGGAGAGGTAGGTACTCAAACACATTGCTGACAGGAGCATAATTTACCATTCTGCTTTGGGGACAACAGAGCAGTATTCATTAAAATTAAAAGTGCACATAACCGGGGGACTTCTTTTTTTTATATCTAACCTACACTTGCACATGTGTGTAATGACGTAGGTAAAAGAACGCTCTTTGGAACAGTGATGAATTAAACCACCCATAAATAGTGGAATAGCCAACAACTGCATTCATAGGACATGATACTCCACAACAGTAACAAAGAATATACTAGATTTTTGTATGCCAATATAGATAAGTCCAAAAATATATTGTTGCAGTGGAAAAAGTAAGTATTGATTGATACATATAGTAGCAATTTCTATGGGTACATATATATAAGATTGAAAAAGAATTAAACAACCTAAGTTTAAAAGTACTCATAGGGCTACCTCTAGTGATGAGTCGATGTTAAAAAGGAGTTTAAATTTATTGGCTATGGCTTTTTAAAGGGGACTATATTTATGTTTTACTTCTGTAATTAAAAATTAATTTAAAACCATGAACCAATGAACATGGGAGTCTCAAGATCCTTGAGGACAGGACAGATACCTGTGCATTTCCAACACAAGCACAGTGCCCGGCAATGCATAGCACTTAATAAAGTTTGGTTAAATGTCTAAAGAGATGAAGGAATTAATAGATGAATAGTTAGTCCCAGCCCCTGTAACTGTGAGAAAATATTAATAATGTCTATTGCGTAAGCCATCCAGTCTGTGGTTTTTTATGGCAGTGCGAGCTGACTAGTAAGTTAGCATAAGGAAATATTTAGGAAAATTCACTGGTATACCAAGTCCATCCGTTTTCCCACTACTTTAAAAAAAAACCTATTTTTTTTCCCTTTTCTTTCCAAGGCTCTTTTGTGAACAAACTTTACCTTGACACATTGAAGATCCCCAGCTCGAAGTGTTTTCTCTTTCAGCGCAGGAGGGGTGGCCGCGGGTGGACTCCTGTGTCCTCCGTATGGTCCCGTAGCACCTGAGTCCGTGCAGCTGCCTCAGCCTCTCCACTCCTCGGGCCCCTTCATGTTCAGGAACGCTGGGCTGCCTGCCGTTGTTTTTCCTGATTAATCATACTCATCATGTACAACTCTGTCCAGCACCATCCATTCCATCAATCTTCCTTGAAGTAGGTCCACCTGGAATAATTGAGCATCTCTCATCATGGGATGCTCCACAATACATTGCAGTTATCTCTATTTACAAATATCTTCCCTATGGGCTGGAAGCTTTTTGAGAACAAGATTTTTGCCTAACCCAGCATTTTCCTAAATTAATGTGCATCCAAATTACTTAGGAATTCTGTTAAAAGGTAGATTCTGATTCAGTGAGCTCGAGGTGTGGCCTGACGCTGCCTTTTGACTAAGCCCCCAGGTGATGTCAGTGTCACTGGTTTTGGTCCGCGGCGTGAGTAGCAGGCTTCTTTGCGCTCTCAGGACCCAGAACAACATGACAGATTACGCTTATAGCAAAAGAGAATTGCTAAGTTTCGCCCCAGTGGATCTCAATTCTGCCTCTGTGTCAGAACCACATGAGGAGACTTCATAACCAGTTCTGCCGTGTAGAGCCCACCCTGTGAGATTCTCATTTGACTAGTCTGGAATGGACCCCGGCCACTGCTAGGTCTCAAAGCTGGAACGTGCCCCTTGGTTTGGGAACCACCGGCTGAGACTCTTTGAAAATGGGGATTCTTCTTGTTATTTCTGGGCCTGGACCTGGTGCCCTGGGGCCACTTAGTATGAGTTGGTTGAGTAAATTAACTCCTTTATCTTGGCTCAGTTTCAGTGTTTCTATGATACTTTCATGTCTTCAGGGTGGGTGGAAAATTTTCTTAAAAAGGCAGGTGGTGGTGGAAGTGACACATTTATGAGGTGACAGAGTTAAGGGTAAACGTGTCAGGGGGCTCTGAATTAGTAAGTAAGCCAACTCTAGTGACATCTTAGGGCTCAGAGTGGGTGGTAGACGAGCCCCTGTAAGGAGGCCACGCCTTTTAAAGTTACTGCAAGAAAGAAGCCTTGCCCAGATGATAGTTGAAATAGTCCTCTTTAACAGCCAGTCCAGCATGGGGGAAATTTGAATTAAACACTTTATTGTTTAGTCTGTTCCTATATTTTAAAATAGTTGATGTAGATGTAAGTAGGGAACCAAACCGCCTGAAGTCCAGGCATCTGAGCAAAAAGGATTACTGGGAAACCTCTGCTGACTTCAGAAGAATTGCATTTTCAATCATAAGCTTTCCAAGGTTGAAAAGGTTAGGACAGTCTCTTCGAGAGGCCTTCATAATGAAAAAAGAAAGAAATTATGGCCCAGGAAGGCTCTTGGTACCAGACCAAGAGACAAAACGGTTATTTGAGAAGTAGATTTAACTAATAAATGTGGGACTATCTAGTAGTCAGGGGCAGCTAAGTGTTCAGTGGCTGGAGACAGGTGTGTGCCCACCAGCTCTGGAGTGCCCACTGGTAAATTTCCAGTTCTGTGGGCCAGTTTTTAAATACAGTTGTTATTAAAAATTAAATTATAAAAGCTTACCATCAAATAAATTATATTTAAAATAAACTAATAAATGCTCAAAACTCATTACTTCTTAATTATTTTTTTGCCACATTTCACTCTTATGTAGGCTCTGGAGATGATTTATGTCTGTTGTACATGTATGGTAGAAATATTATATAGTAGTGCTACTGATTTTTTTTTTTTTTACTCTGTGTTCAGTAATGTCATGGTGGAAGTTTGAATATTTACACCATGGAAATTTATAAATGATCAAATGAGAGTGTGATTCATTGTTTTGTTTATTGTCTAGCTTTAGGAAAGTGATGGAGAAAATGTTAGTAATTCATGTTAAATAAAAATTAAATAAATTCATATTAAAGACTGTATAGTGTCTTTAGCTGTTACATTATGAATGGTACAAAGATTGATGAAATATTCTTCCAGGACTTGAAAATTATAATTCCATTCAATTACTGGAGTGACTTTTTTGCTGAGTTGTATATATTTTATATACAAGTTCCTTATCAAATATGTGATATGCAAATATTTTCTCCCACTTTGTGAGTTGTCTTTTTACTTTCTTGATGGTGTCTTTTCAAGCACAAAAGTTTTTAATTTTGATAAAGCTCAATTTATCTATTTTTACTTTTGTTGCTCATGCTTTTGATGTCAGATATAAGAATTCTTTGCTAACTCCAAGATCATGAAGTTTTCTCCCATGTTTGCTTCTAAGAGTCCTATAGTTTTTGTTCTTATATGTAGGTCTTCGATCCATTTTGAGTTTTTTTTTTTTTTTACAGTGTGAAATGAGGATCCAACTTCATTTTTTACATGTGGCTATCCAGTAGTTCCAGCACTTTTTGTTGAAAGGCTGTTCATCTTCCATGGAATGGTGTTAACACCCTCGTCTATAATCAGTTGACGATCAATCCATAGGTTTATTTCTGAATCCTCGGTTCTAATTCATTGATTTGCATGGCTATATTTGTGCCAGTAACACACTGTTTTATTGCCATTATTTTGTAGTAAGTTTTGAAATAGGGAAATCTAAGTCCTCTTATTTTATTTTTCTTTTCTGGGATTGTTTTGGCTGTACTTGGTCCCTTGAAATTCCCTATGAATTTCAGAATCAGCTTATCAATTTGTATAAATGAGTCAGCTGGGATTCTGATAGATATTGCACTGAATCTGTAGATTAGTTTGGGGAGTGTTGCCATCCTAACAATGTTAAGTCTTCTGATCCATGAGCATGGGATGTTTTTCATTTATTTAGAGCGTCTTTGATTTCTTCAACAATGCTTTATAGTTTTCAGAGTACAAGTTTTATACTTCTTTGGCTAAATTTATTCCTGCTTTATTTATTTTTTTTTTTTGTGTGTCTGTAATTTTTTTTTTTTTTATTTTGGCATATTATGGGGGTACAGATTTTAAGGTTTCAATAAATGCCCATTTCCCCCCTCCCCCCAAAAGTCTGAGTCTCTATCATGACCATCCCCCAGATGGTGCACATCTCACTCATTATGTATGTATATACCCGCCCCCATCCCCCCTCCCACCTGCCCAATACCCTATTACTGTAGTACCTATGTGTCCCCTTAGGTGCTACTCAGTTAATACCAGTTTGCTGGAGAATATATCTGGTGCTTGTTTTTCCATTCTTGGGATACCTCACTTAGTAGTATGGGTTCCAGCTCTAACCAGGAAAATATAAGATGTGCTATATCACCATTGTTTCTTAGAGCTGAATAGTACTCCATGGTATACATATACCACATTTTATTAATCCATTCTTGGATTGATGGGCACTTGGGCTGTTTCCACAGCCTTGCAATTATGAATTGTGCTGCTATAAACATTCGAGTGCAGGTGTCTTTTTTGTAGAGTGTCACTGGATCATTTGGGTAGATGCCCAGCAATGGGATTGCTGGATCAAATGGTAGATTCAGTTGTATCGCTTTAAGGTATCTCCATATTGCTTTCCACAGAGGTTGAACTAGTTTGCAGTCCCCCTGCTTTATTTTTTGATGCCATTTGAATGGAATTGTTTTCTTAATTTTATTTTTGGGTGGTTCATTGCAACTGTATAGAAATACGATTGACTGTTGTATATTGATGTTGTATCTTGCAACTTTGCAGAACTCATTTATTCTAATAATTTTAGTGAATTCATTATAATTTTCTACAAATAAGATCATATCATCTGCAAGTAAAGATAGTTTTATTTCTTCCTTTCAAATCCGGATGCCTTTTACTTATTTCTCATTTGTAATTGTCCTGGCTAGAACATCTAGTACAATGTTAAATAGAAATGGCAAGAATGGACTTTGTTTTCTCCCTCCTAATCTGAAAGAGAAAACATCCAGTCTTTCATCATCAATTGTGATGTTAGTTGTGGGTTTTTCCCAGATATCCTTTGTTAGGCTGAGGAAGTTCTGTTTCTAGTTTATTGAGTGTTTTAATCATGAAAGTATTTTGAATTTTGTCAAGTCTTTGACCATTTGATTACAAAAATGGAAAATGCATGTGTTTCAATCAAATATTACTACCTTAGCCTCATGTGAATTTGATAAGCATCAGTCAACCTTCAAATTCCTGGGAATGTTAATGTTGAATGGAGGCTTGGGTCTGAGCCTTCATTCAACATTAATATTGTTGGATATACTCCCTCCCTGAGGAGACCTGCTTGCGTCATCACTTCTTCTTCCAGATGATGCCTCTAACTCCTGCCCATTTACACTGCATTCTAGAATTAAATGAGATCATCTCCAGGAAGGTGCTTTGAAATGTGAGGGGTTAGGTTTAGTCTATATCCACTACTCCAGGTAGTGGCATGGGTAGTAAAACCTCACTGCCTCTTATATAAAATCTTTGGGCAAGATGCATTTCATAATTCAAACTTTTGGAATTTTAGAAAGCTAATATGGTACATATATGGTATATTATATTAACCCCATCCCACCAACCCCCCATGGTGTTTGATGCAACAACCTGTAATCAAATACAGATATTTCTGTGGTGAAATCAATGAGTACTCCCACTAGGTTGTAAAAATAAAGACTATAAATAGCCTCACATCAGTTCAGGTCAAGTTTCACTACCAAATGAATTTAGGTCAGGTTAAGTATTGTCAGCCAAATGAATAATAAAGAAACTTGTGGGTTTGGAAAATGGATAAAAGGCTGTGGACCTATACTGACCTGCTAACTCAGGCAAGCCTGTGTGCCTACAGGACCAGAGCCATGGCAGTGAGCTTGCTTTGGTCTATACTACGGGTAGTCTTATCTGTCTGTAGTCTTGCCCCTTCCCCAACAGGAGATTTCTGGAGAGAGGGAACAAGCAGAACATACACATTTTTCCCCCTTCACACCATTCAGCAGCATTTTCACCACCTTCTATTCTCACCAGACAAGGAAACAGGCCTAGGATCTGTGAGAGCTAGAACTGAGAGTGAGGTTGTGCAGAGCATGCTCGCCATGCGCAGCAGAAGGGAGGAACAAAGGGAGCACCACGGGAGTTTGCAGCTTCACCAGTAAAGGTGATGATCCTCTTATGGAGTATGGCTTCTGTGGTTTTGCATAATATTAATTACGGATTTCAGAAATGACCAAATCTACTTAGAAGTTGACTAGGGATAAATCAAGATTTAGCCAAGTGTCTCAGGGAATGGGGTTTCAAAACCAAACTTCTTGTTCAGGAATCTGACTTTGGTAAAATTAAGAAATAGCCAGTTTTGGGGAGCGGAGCAAGATGGCGGACGAATAACACCGCCAGACAGAGTGTCTCTGCAGTAAAGACAGATTCTAGCAGAAATTAGAGGAAAGAAGCAAGAAGACGACCATACAGCAGACAAGGGCCGGAAGGAGGGGTACCTGAGACCCTGGGAGACTCCACGGGAGGAGGCTGCGGAGGAGAACTGGGAGCTGAGACACTGGAGCAGCCGAGACCAGCGACAAGGGTAGGTGGATTTGCTGTTTCCCTCCCCTGCATTCAGGACTGCTGGTGGGCCTCCAGCGGGTGGAGAGACCTGCGACAACAGCCCAGAGACCGCCGCGCCTGCCAACGGTGAGCCTGTACAGATGTGGCACCAGGTTCCCAACTCTCCCGGGCACCTCCGTGTGCACAGACCCGAGCCCGCGGCAGGCACCATTTGCCCTCCTCCCCCTCCGCCGACCCTACCCGGCTGCCCGAGAGACAATACAGCCACCAGCCGGAGGCACCTCCAGGGAAGGACCTTCCCATTTGGGACCCTACACCTGATCAGGGAACTCAGACTGTGAGCTCCCTACTGCCTGCCCACCCAGGTGCTGCTGGCACGGTGTTCCCAGGAGAACGGTGCCGACTCAGAGACTGAGAGACATAGACCCAGCTAGGGATCCTGTGGGTGAATTGGGACCAGAAATCCTCTCCCTGGTGGGATACAGTCTGACTCTGGGACCAGAGTCGGACCTGCAGACCAGATCCCCTGCACCGAGGCTAGCATTGCCAGGGCACAGAAGGGTTATACATGAACAGCCTACTGAGGTGTGTGTGCCTCCAGGGCAATCGGCGCCCTAGAGGCAACCCTCCTCCCAGGAGGAGGCCGTGCGCCCAACCAGGTGGCGTTCTGTGCAGGGAACATCCCCGCCTGCATCACAGTCCGGGGAGGCCTGGTGGCTTGTGGTCTGGCCTGCTGGCAGAGGCCCAGGAGTAGCTGTGGAGTTCGGGAGGGTGGAAAGAAGCAAGGCCCGCTCCAGACTGCAGGTCTCAGACACCCCCACCCCCACACACAGACTTTCTGGCTGAGGGGGACCATTCCAGCCCCGCCCTGACAGCTTTCCCTGGAAGCAGAGTCCAGAACTTTGACCCCTGCTAACGGCCTGAGGGCATGCTTACCCAACCCAGCTCCGCCCAGAACAAGAGCTGTTAACAGCACACAAATCAACAGTATAGCCTGTTCCTCCAAGCAATGCCACCTACTGACAGGGACGCATCCTTGCATAGCCTTTCCACGGCACCAGTGACTCAATAACAGGAGTGGTCCA